TATCCAAGGACTTTTACAGAGAATTCATAGAGAACTATTATAACTCAATAATAAGAAGCCAAACAACCCAATTTTTTAAATGGACAAAATATTTGACAGGTACTTCTACAAAGAAGATATGCAGATGGTCAATAAGCACATGAAAAGATGCTCAACATTATTAGTCATCAGGGACATGCACATTAAAACCACAATGATGGCCGGGCGCTGTGGCTCACGCCTGTAATCCTAGCTCTTGGGAGGCCGAGGCGGGCGGATTGCTCAAGGTCAGGAGTTCAAAACCAGCCTGAGCAAGAGCGAGACCCCGTCTCTACTATAAATAGAAAGAAATTAATTGGCCAACTGATATATATATAAAAAATTAGCCGGGCATGGTGGCGCATGCCTGTAGTCCCAGCTACCCGGGAGGCTGAGGCAGAAGGATCACTCGAGCCCAGGAGTTTGAGGTTGCTGTGAGCTAGGCTGACGCCACGGCACTCACTCTAGCCTGGGCAACAAAGCGAGACTCTGTCTCAAAAAAAAAAAAAAAACCACAATGAGATACTTCTACACATCAATGAGATTGGCTAAAAATAAAAAGACTGAGCATGCCAAGTGCTGACAGGAATGTAGAGCAACTGAAGCTCTTACATGCTGCTGATGGGAATATAAAATGGTACAACCAGTTTAGAAAACATTTTTGTAATTTCTCAAAAAGTTAAACATACATTCATGTTAAGACCCAGGCATTCCACTCCTAAGTATTTACCCAAGAAAGACAAAGCCACCTGACCACATAAATACCTGGGAATGAATGTTCATTGCAGTTTACTTGTAATAGCTCTAAACTGGAAATAACCCAAAAGTTCATCAACAAGTAAATGGATAAACTAATTGTTGTATATCCACAGAAAAGAGCATAACTCAGCAATAAAAAGGAATGAACTACAGATATATAAAACAACATGGATGGACTTAAAAATCATTAAAAAATGCTGAATGAAAAATTCAGGGGAAAAAAGTGAGCACACTGTTTAATTCCATTTATACAGAACTCTACAAAGTTATCTATAGTGACAGAAAGCAGATTAGTGGTTGCCTAGGGAATGGGGTAGAAGAAGAGATGGATTACAAAGGATCTCAAGGAAATTATTGAGAATGATAAAAATGTTTGTTATATTGATTGTGGTCACATAGGTGTATACATATGTCAAAATTGATCAAATTATACAATTCAAATATGTACATTTTATTGTACTTCAATTTTACCTCAATAAAGTTGTACCAAAGGTGGGGGGGCGCGGGGGGGGGGATCCAATTTACTGACAAAAGCAATGGGTGGCTCTATGGTTTCCAGCCATATAGGGGACTAGAAAACCTGATGTTCTCACTGAAAACATTTAGAAATGATGGGTAAACTATTAACAAACATTTTTTTAAGTGTATAGCCTGGGCTACCCTTGGAGAGTAGGGAGAGATATTGCTGGCCCCTTAAGCAAGGAGCTTTGGTTTTGACTGTCACTCAGGAACAAAACTTGGCCCTTACAAGGTTATGATTGGGGACTGAAACTGCCCTGTAGTCCTGAGATCACTGAAGGGCTACATCCTTAGTAAAAGGTTGGACCAAGATGAAAATAAGGAAGTTTGTCTGCGTTGGGAAAGGCCTTGCTTTAAGAACATATAACCACAGCCTATCTTCATGGTTTCAAGATCTGAATTTACACTATCTCTGTAGTCAGGGAACCTGAAAGTAGATGAATTAACTTAAAAAGTGTTCCAGCCTGGAAGTATCCCTGAGGCACCTGGCAGAAGAAATACAAAATTTCTCTGTATGGCAAAATCATTAACCAAGCCTCAACAGATTCCTTTGATAATACCACACTGAAAGTGAGCTCACAATACAAAATAACAAAATATGAGAAAACTACAAAGGAAATATGTGTGCAAATTTGTGTGCTAACACTTGAGTAGCGTTTTGTTGCTAAGTATTAGAACATTTCTAAGCAGGGCAAATTCAAATAGCCGATAAAATCTGGTGCCTTTCCTCAGTGAGAAAATACTTGGAACCCCATTAAAAAGAATTGGGAATGATATCTGCCATACAGGTCCAAGGAGGCCAGTAATAGAATAACACATACAGCTTGAGACTTTGTTTTGAAGTACAAAGGCTATATATTTTGTATGTGCATATGAGAGTATGGAAATATGTATACCAAATTGATTGAAGAGCAGGATTTGGGGAGGATTAGGGAAGAAGGGTTTTTAAAATTTGAGTATTGTTCAGATTTATTTTTCCTTTTGACAATGAATATTTGTAATTTTTTTAAATAAAGGAAAATATTTTAAAGAGCTCTTTTGTTTGCAATAATAGCACCTATTTTGTTACTGAAAATAAAGAACAAAACGCAATTTTCCAAGTGCAGTACAAGGAAGTCAAGCAATGGACTACTAGGAGAAACCCAGGATTGTTTGAAAATCCTGTTTTTCACGCTTCTTTTAGTTGGCGTTCTGTCACCTGAGATATAATTACTCAGAAGGTAGTTTTCGGACAGCGTCCCCTTCTGAGAATAATGTTCATTGAGAGCAACTTGGAAATGATTCAAGAACTGACTGCTGGTCACAGTTGCCTTACCTAACAAACTTGATAGCCATGCCCCAAAGAGACCAGATTATAGCATTAGAAAAGATAGTGAGATCATCCCCTCACTTGTGGTTGGCTTAGATTTAAACAAGTAACCAAAAAAAATTCTAGTCAAGGCAGAATAACTAGTTGCATATAAAAACATATGAATACTAAAAGACTAGCAACTCTACATTTCGAAGAATTATCTGAGATGTCTTGTGAAAAATGTCTTGCAAAAAAAGATGACTTGTTAAAAGATAAGAACTTTATGAGTTATAGAGAAATAATTTGCTACGTTCCAAAGATAAAAGGCTTACTAGAAACAAGAGGTATATGAAGTATAGGAGAAAAGAATATTTCCAAGACAGAATAAAAATATAGTTAGTAAGGGACTTTTGTTGCATTAAAATTTAGCATCTGAAATCTGGTATTTGAAAAATTAATTTTAAAATATCTGAATTAGGAAACTGATTCTATAGTTTCCTTTGAACAAAATTTATCTGCCCATTGGCCAAATTTGGGACTTATTGAGCATCAAGAAGGACAAAGACTATAAGTAATTATATCAAATAAATAAAAATCCATGAGTCCATAGTGATATTCAAAGAGAAAGGGGAAAAAATAAGGAAAGCTTTTTTTGAGAATGTCAGCTAACAAAAGTAGAAGGAAAGGTATTTAGAAAACTACCATTTTGCATCCACAAGGCAATAGCTGATTCAAAAATCAGCACTGTAAAACTAAAGCCATTAAGTGGAATTTGTTGAAAATAGGATATCCACATAGTGCCAAAGAGTCACCCACAAATACTAAATATTTTACACTTTTAATGAAGAAATCCATGCTCATCAACTTAACCAAGGGATCAGTCTTGAATTGAATAAGAGTGGGACAACCTGGTATTGTTTCTTGATGTGAAACAATAAAAGTACACAACATCACTAGCGAGAGCTTCTTGACAAGAATGTTTAACCTGAATTCAATCAAGTCTCACACAGTTTACAGGAAATAGAGGGGCTAGAAGATGTTAAAAGACAACATAAGGAAACAACTGAATCCAGAATGGGGGCCCTTCTACAAGAGAACTGTCCTGACTCTTTAAAAAGCCATTATCATTTTTTTTAAATGTGGGGAGACTATATTGTAGAGACCTACAACCTACAATCAAATGCAATGAATAACATTGACTGAATCCTGGTTTGGGTAGGAGGTGGATGGAAAGCTGCTATTAAAACTTCTTGAGGCCTCGCAGTATATAAATGGTGCTTTACTTAACAGAATATCTGGAGGAATAAAGCACATTTGATGTAAAAATAATTGTTTTATTTTTATTGACATGACTGATTGCTATTCTGTGCACTTAATTAAACTGATTGTGATGACTTTTAAACAAAAAAAAATTTCTTGAAACAAACTGGAAAAACTTAAATATAGATTAAGTATTTGATATTATGAATTACTATTGATTTTCCTCAGCTGTGATCATGATATTGTGGTTATACAGGAGAATCTCCTTGTTCCTAGGTAATGTATGCTTTTCAAAGATAAAATATTATGGTACCTGAAATTTGCTTTAAAATAGTGTACCAGTGTGTGGTGGGGAGAGAAGATTGCCAATATCTGTCTTTGACCTAAAAAACCAGTTATTTGGTTAAACCTAATACAAACACATAGAGAGTTAAAGTAAGTGTGGCAAAATGTTAGCCACTGTTGAATCGAGGCAGTAGCTACACAGGTGTTTATTATACTATCCTTTAACTTTTCTATATGTTTGAAATTTTTTATAATAAAATGTTGGGGGAGGGAATTCTTCTCAGAAATGTTTTCCTTAGAAGACACCTATAAAATCTATCCTAAATTTTAAAGAACCTTACTATTCTAAAGAAGTTGTTTGCTTTTCTTCATTTGCTTACTCAGCATCCATTCCAAGAATATTCTTTTTTTTTTTTTTTTTTTTTTTGAGACAGAGTCTCACTTTGTTGCCCAGGCTAGAGTGAGTGCCATGGCGTCAGCCTAGCTCACAGCCACCTCAATCTCCTGGGCTCAAGCGATCCTCCTGCCTCAGCCTCCCGAGTAGCTGGGACTACAGGCATGCGCCACTATGCCCAGCTAATTTTTTCTATATCTATTAGTTGGCCAATTAATTTCTTTCTATTTATAGTAGAGACGGGTCTTGCTCTTGCTCAGGCTGGTTTCGAACTCCTGACCTTGAGCAATCCGCCTGCCTCGGCCTCCCAGAGTGCTAGGATTACAGGCGTGAGCCACCGCGCCCGGCCTCATTCCAAGATTAAATTCCTCATTCCAATATTAAAACCTGACTTAATTATTGCAAAAATTCTAATGCTAGAATAAATCTAATATAAATCTCACAAATAACACCAATAATCAGCACAAGATTTATAGGTGTAAACATCTGGTTTTGTACCCAAATAACAAACTTAACAGCAATAAAACAAATCGTTTATTACCGCATATAATGTTATATTAAATTTACACAATGATATATAAAAACACATACTGTTTATATTATACAGTAATTTAACATCAATAGGAATATCAAAACAAATACTACTCATGCACAAAACATGCATATACTGGTATTAAAAAAGCAATTTTACACAATACTGTTTACCAAAAAAAATTTGTTTTTAAAAATAAAGCCCTTCCAGATAGGGTCAGTGGTCCAATCTGGACTGGATTGCACTAACACATTCAGGCCAATGCGACAGTGGCACACTGCTCAGTGAGCAATTGTGGGCTTGGAATCATGCCCAAGGGTTATTTCATTAAGAGGGCACTTCTCTGTACCCGAGGACCAAAATTTTATCCTAAAGGCAAATCCTGCAAGGAATGAATGGTTGGATGGCTACAAATTAGCGTGGTCGGAGGAAGGCATCAAAATGTTCCATAAATGGCCCTAGAAAGGGTTGCTGTGACCAGGGCCTAGGCACCAAGTGTGGCAAAATTTTCATGAATCCTTGTAAGGTATCACCAGCCTCCCTATCCAGATTGTCATTTCTGGATTTAGGGTCTGGTAATGAGTCCAGTAAACAGACCAGTTCTGAAAAGACAACAGAATGGGAGTACCTCTGAGAAATACAGACTACATAAAAAAAATCACAGGAAACAATGACTGCCCCTCGTACCTACTTCTCACAATTGTATGTGATGCCCCTCAACAGGAAAACCCCCGTGGAGACATTGCCCTGAAGAATCAAGAAGCAAATGTATGTCCTAAAATTCTATCCAACTGACCCTGGGGTCAAAAAGTCTCATCCCAATAAAACTTGAACATCAAAAACTGTACCTTGAAACAGCCAATACCGCAAAACTCATTCACTATCACCACCATTAAAACCTCAATATTTACTTCTAACTAGAAAACGTTCTTTACCTTCCATTAAAGGCACTAGTGTCTATACATGATGGAAATGGGACAAATAATTTACCTCGGTTTTGTCTTAAAAGAAAAGCATTCCATGAAAGTATTACACAAAAAGGGAGATGTCGCCTTTTTTATTTCGGCAACAAGGGGGGGGGGGAGACACTTTTCTACACCAGTGACATTACTCAAACCGTAGTCATTAGTTTCAAAGAGCCGGACCGAAAGCGGAGGATTTTCTTCTTGAGGTTGTGTGAAGCTTTAATTTTGACAAAGGCTTTTGTGGGATTGTGGCTGAGCCCTGGGGCCGTCACCGTCTGTATTGGGAGAGTCTGGACGAACTGGGACCAAATTAAGCCCCCGCTTTCCTCAGAGTCGCTGGTGGTCGTGCTCTCCCCCACAAACTCACCCTCGCTCACGCTGGACTCGCTGTCCCCGAAGCAGTTGGTGGTGTAGTTGCTCTGCTCGTCCTCGCTGGTGTCCACCACGGTGGAGTGGAAGAGGGACTCGCACTCAGCGGAGTACTCGGAGTCGCTGGCCACATAGGCGTAGGGGCTGGCGTAGGGCAGCGGCACGGGCGCGGGGTAGCCCGCGTTCTCCCGGCGGCCCCGCCGGGCCCGCCTCAGAGCCTCTTCGTAGGAAATCTCGGCGGAGGACTTCCACCGCCGGTAGTCGGTTCGCTTGTGCTTAGGTTTGGCCACCACCGCCTCCCGTCCGTGGCCGTGGGCCCTGGTCCCTGCCCGTGGGCCCCCGCCCAGGGGCCTGCCCAGAAGGCCCCCCTCAGGCCCGCCGCTGCTCTTCCTCCCTTTGGAGATGGCCTTCTTGGGTTTCTTATTTGTATCCAAGTCCTCGGGGAAGCGGCACTTCTTGCCCCCTGCCCGTGTTTTCTCCCTGACAGTGGGCAAACCGTTCTCCAGCCCCTGGAGGACCTGGCCGCGATGCTTCAGGGTGGCACTTTTCGCAACGCCCACGTTTCTGTGGCCCCGGTGGGGCCTGACGCCCGGCTGCTGCCCTGGGATGAACTGAGCTTTGACCAGGTGCCCTTCCTCCAGGCTTTGGGAGGAAGAGCCCTCACTTTTGAAATCCAAGGCAGGCCTGTCTTCCACAGGGAAGAGCAGTGGAGGAGGAGCGGCCAGAGGGACACCCTGCAGGCTGTTTTTCTGTGACATCTTTTTCAGGGGCTGGGCCACTTTATTCTCTGGTGGGGCGATGGGGCCTCTGCCAGGGCTCTCTTTTGGAGAGGCAGCTGACAGCTGAGTGCTTTCTTTAAGGGGCTCCCCTGTCCCAGCAGTGGGACACCGAGCATGTTCTTGGGAGGCTAGCTTGGCATTTTTTGGCAGATGTTTACTTTGAAGTTCGGAGGCAGCAGCTGGCAAGCAGCCCTCTGATGGGGGCAATCTCTTGCCTTCTGCTTGTTCTGACTTTGACTCTTTTGACCACTGCTTCGGTGGGGAGAATGTCCCATTGTCCAAAGTGGGTATTCCGCTGGAGGGCAGACATCCCTGTTTTGAATTCTTAAGGTTCATATTATTACCCTGTGAGACACCACCAGTGGTTCTGACACAAACGCTCCCATTCCTCAGAAGCCCTTTTGTGGGGTCTGCATTCACACTGGTTCTTGGTTTGTTGGTCCTTACAGGGTGTGTTTTTTTCTGGACCAGGCTCAGAATGTAGCCATCCATTTTCTTGCAAGATGAAGGATGCGAAGCAGACCATAGGCTACTTGGAGATGGTAAGGAACTGTCTGTTTTGACGGTAACTAGCTCGGATCCACTGCACACGTCACTGACATGGTTTCCAAGCCTCTCCTCTTCCCGCAGAGGGTTGCCCGTCAGACAAAGGAGAAACATTGGGCTTTGCACGGCCACGGCATGAAGTGGACTGGGATAGCGATATACATCATTCCCGTTTTTAGACACCAGATCACACTGGTACTTGGGATTCACATCTGTAATGACATCAAGGGAATTAAATTGGGGTGTGGAGAAGGAACGACAAACTGCCCCTGAGACATGGTCTTCACAGTGGCCTTCCTTATATTCCAACCATCCTATGAAATCTGAAAAACATTGAAAGGTACACTCTGAAGAAGTGAATTGGTCAGCACCAACCTGACTCTTTGACCACTTTTTTTGTTTTTAGACAGGGTCTTACTCTGTTGCCCAGGCTAGAGTGCAGTGGCATCATCATAGCTCACTACAGCCTCAAACCCCTGGGCTCAAGAGATCCTCCTGCCTCAACCTCCCTAGTACCTGGGACTACAGGTAAACACCCCCACTCCTGGCTAACTTTTTTTTACTTTTTGTAGAGACAGGGGTCTTGTTATTGCTCAGGCTGGTTTTGAACTAACCTCAAGCAATCCTCTTACCATGGCCTCCCAAAGTGCTAGGATTACAGACATGAACCATTGCACCCTGCCTCTTTGGCCAGTTATATCCTCTAAAGGAAAAATATTCAAACATTAAGAATGCCTTCAAACTATTGAATAACATAGGAAAACCACTTTAAATTTTAGTGAAAATCATGATATAATAACACAATATGATTATAATTTTATTAGGATTATGTATATGCAAAAAAAATCTATGATGAAGCACACCAAAATTCTAATAATAGCATCTCAGTGTGATGAGAAAGCAAGTGATGTTTACCTTCTTTATTTTCTATTTTCTAAATTTTCAGCAATGACTGTACTACATTTATAACTGGAAAAAATAAATGCTTTTTAAGTCATTGTTTCTCTACGCTACTCTTCCTTCTGTGTTCTATTCCTGGTTTTCCTAAAATACTTAGGTTAAACCATACTTTCTGTGGGCTTTCTCCTCATTTTGTATTTCTTTTAAATGTAATTACCAATGACATCTATTCAAATATAACTGTCAAATATAACTGTCAGGTCAAGGAATCTGATCAAGTTTCAATAAACACTAATCAAATTTAAATAATAATCACCTTATATTTTCAACAATGACACTAAAAAATAAAAGTATTATTTTTAACAGGATAAGGAATTCTTGATAAGATTTTAAAAGACTGAGTAGTAGTATTAATGGATAAGTTTCCCACATCTCAAAAATGTAGATGCCAAAATATAATGAAATCAAGCTTACTTTCTTAATTAAATTATTTTGATCTCTTGGTGAATATTACAAATATCAAATCCTTTTAATGACCTTCAGTTATCAGAGAAAATTAAAGTTGAGCTTATCACTAATCTGTCATCCATTATAATTACATTTATTTATTCAAATATTGAAAACCTACTATGTGCCAGATCCTGTTCATGGTTTAGTTTAAGAGAAAGTTCCATGAACTTCAAAGATAATTAGCAGTCTCAGGGGAAAAATAGTCTAGACTCAGATATGATGTGATTCATTTGTAAAGAAAAGATTATAATAAAAATGTCACGTCGCTACCCACTCGACCCCCAATAAACAGCTTGTTCTAACAAGAGGAAACCTCTCTGGTTAACATCCTTCTCCATCCCTCCTCTCCCACCACCCTCAGCCCCATTTTTGCCTTACTTAAAGCCACATTTACATACACTTCACCCATCTTCCCTTTTCCCTATTTAGAGTTAAGCAAAACATATCCCAGCCCCCAAGGCCCAATGTAACTGTTTCAATTATGTAAGGACATGGCATTTGGGAGAATAGGGGTCTGTCTTCAAGGAAAACCTGTACCAAAGTGACTGTAATGAGTTTATAAAGTTTCCCTCTGAAACCAGATCTGCAGAGTGAAGGGGAGCAATTACCAACGAACTTGAGGCCAAGACACTATAGATACACAGTTCTGTGCTTCTCCAAATGATTGCTGCTGACAACACACACTACAAATACACAGACACCAGCCAATTAACAACCTCAGCTGCTTGGGTGCTACTTTGCCTGAACTCAAAAATTTAGCTTTATATTCAAGGGGAGAACATAGACAAGCCAGGAGTGTTGTGACTTGTGCCAGCCCCAACAGCAACTCTAATCTTGATATTTTCTTTGCTTTTCCAAGGAATCAGAACTAAAGAAAGTATCCTGAGTTCCAGTAACAACTCTGTCATTTGGCAGATAGGGAGCCTCTTACAAACAGCTTATAAACCAAAATTCCTCCTTTTTTAGATGAGAAGGTTGAAAACAATTTCTGAATTCCCTTGGAGTGGTAGAAAAACATGGATTTGGCAGTTAGGCCTGACCTGGCATCCTGCCTCTGCTACTCACTAGCTATAGAGCCTTAAATAACTTATCGGTCCTCACTAGACCCCATTTTTTGGATACATAAAGTGAAGGTAACAACACCTGCATTCTGCAGAATTGTTGGGAGAATTTTAAGGAGATATATGTATGCAGAGCATTCAGTCCAGTGTGTGACACATAGTGGAAAGGCAGGAACTCTTCCAGCACCAACAATAACAAGATTCTGTCTGGAGGTGATTGCAAAAATAGCCCAGGGAATAACAGCATATGAGCTGTGAGACTGTCATCCCACCCACCTACTAAAAGACAAGTGAGTCGCTATCATACAGGGCATTCTGGATAATATGGAGGGACCACTGCTCCCTGAGCTGTCAAGCAGTTCTTGGCCAGGCTGACAGACATATTTAACTTAATGTGAGCTTTAGCTTTAAATGATTAAAGGAAGAAGAAAACAGTTCTAGAATGGGTTTCAAAAGAAAACGTAGACAAGTTAAACTAACAGCAAAGACTTAGAAATAGAGCTCAAGACCTATATATAATATTGGGACAGGATTCCTAAAAATAAACTACCTTGCTACTATCAGAATATAAAATCAAGTAATATCCAAAGAGTACTGGAATTGTTCTATTAATAGATATTCACCTAGATGAAACTATGGGTTCTAGATGTAAGTACGACACTAACTGCAGTAAATTGATGAACCTTTGTTTTTCCATCAGTAAAAGATGTAGAGGCTCGATAATCCTTTAAGGGCCTTAACCTCTTCCCATTAAACTTTCTATCAATGCTAAAAATTCTTACCTGCAGATTTGGGGCAACCATCTGAGAGAGTCAAGGTTGCCTCCAGAGGGCTGCAAAAGCAGGTGCTGGAATGACAACTGGATAAACACTCACTGAACACCGAGTTAGAGGAATTAGAAAGGGATCCTGAAGCCCCATCACTCAGCTCATAAAACCCTACAAATAAAAACATTGTTTGAATTATCACATCAAGGAATAATACACATTCATGCTTAAAAGGAAAAGGAGTGATCATCTGGGAAAGGGAGGTTTGTTGTTTGGTTTTTTTTTTTTGGTTTTGGGCTTTTATTTTTTTGATCAATTTTGGTTCACTGGATTTTAGTGTTCTGATTTCATGGTCTTATTTCAAATAATTCCTAGGAAAACACACATGGGTATATTTCAAAGTTACTCTCACCCTCAAACTGACCTTCTTCCTTGACCTATCTTTAAAGATGTGCAAGGAAAGAAACTTAGATCATCAAGGCCTCAACTTTATTATGAATATTTCAAAAGAAATAACTTTAAGAGAAAAACAGATCTATTTAAGGAGCCAAATGGTTTAAAAGAAAAAAAAAAACTTTTGAAGTAGGCTCAGGAAGTTGAAGTGTGACTAATTTTCTAGCCCAGTTCTGACTTACTCAAGTTTCAAAGGAGAACCACTTTTCCAGAAATTTGAATAGCTTTTAAACTCAGGGACTCCAGTCACATCAATCTCATTATTAAAAATTTTGTCATCTGACTTTATTTCCCTCTCATGCAACTGAATGGCAGACTGCTTTTTAAAATTCTCTCTGCACTGGAAACAAATTCCATTGCCATTTGCAGGTCTGGGAATGTTAACCACAGGGGGCCAAGGTGTAACTCATGAGTGCAGAATTCTGTCCTTGTGCTCAAACACTCACCTGAGCTAGGCCGGCTGTCTGTCTCCAGGTGCTCTTCAGATGTCTTTTCTACATCCAATCTCAGGTCACTTATCTGCTTGTCGAGTTCTTGCAACTGATTCAACAAACCAGCATCTCTTCTCCTCAAACAATTCTGATTAAGAACAAACAGAGAAAGGAAAAATGAACACACTTTGGTGACAAAGAATCAGAAAGTCTGCTCTAAGGATTCAAATTACCCATCTGAAGAGATCACTAAACCTTCCAAAACCAAAATTTTACTGGATGACCTGAAATAAAGAAAAACTTTCAGAATTCAAGGATCTGTCCTATGTTTAATTCTACTGTCTCAGATTTTGTGGTGATATAGTTTCTTCATAAAAACAAGACTTATTTTTAATTTCAACTAATATATATACCAACTGTGACTTTTTATAGGTAGGGACATGAAAAATGCACTGAGTGTTTAAATCATCTGGTATACAGCCAGTTTTTTAAAAAACAATACTTCACAGTAGACTCTTTAATTTGAAGTCAGGATAACAGATTTCTTACAATACACTATAAGCTTACTTAGGTGAGATTTTTCTGGCCAAATGTCTTGGCCTGGAGAGTTTTGTTTTCTATTAGTTGCTTTGTGGGGTTTAATCAGTCTTAGGCCTTTGAAAGTGAGAAACTAATACTAATAGCCAGTGCCAAGTATAATGTGAGCTGGCAGAATCCAAAACCCTCAAGGGAAGGCCCATCAAGATTTGAACTCAGCTGGTTTCCAAAGGTGACAGATCGGTTGTGCTAACTCACACCGCCACCTAGTGCTTCCTATTGCTGGAAAAGCAAAAGAACTCAAAAGGCATCTGGTTCAAATCATGAATGCCAAGTCTACAAATGAAAATAATACCATAAACACTGACTGGACTGGAATTCTCTTGACATTCTGCCTTGCTCCCCCTCAAACGGACAATAGGAACTACCACTCAAAATCTTGAAATTTGTGAAGACAAAAAGGTGCTATTGCACAAGGCAATGCATAAAACGTAAGTAACCAGGCATAACCAGTGAGAACTGGCTCAAATCAATGTTACATACAAATCTGGTCTATTACCAAAAAAACACAATAAAATGACAAAACAGAGGTATTACACAGACCACATTGGACATCCTTACAAAACAGATGCATATGAATATATGCTTCTCTTGTCTGTCCTTTAACTTAAAAAGCTTGGAGAGACATAAACCATATGCTTGTTTGTGAGAATGAGTTTTTGGTTTTTTTTTCAGGAAAAATGAATCTATCAAGTAAAAGCACTTCGAAGCTCTAAAAAACCAGAAAAACAGAAAAAAATGATCTGAAAATAGATAATACAAGAAAACACATGACAACCACATAGCATCACCACTTCATTGTAAAAGAGCCATTATCCAGTATGTGCCTAGTTTAAATACTATCACATGGCCAGGTAAGGACCTTTGCTGTTTCCAAAACTACATTTTGAGGTCACTGAAACAAAGCTGCCGCCATTATTCTGAGGCGGGGTCAAAAGCTGTTCTCCAATACATTAAGCTCCAAAGTTGTTCTTCTTCCTCATTAATGAGGACTTTATAGAATGACTGAGACACTGACAGAAATCCAATAAGACAAATGCTCCCTGAGAGCAGGTTCCCTCTTCTCCTACCTCCACCGCCAATCACAGCTGGCAGAACGTATAAAATATGAGAGGAGGAGGCACGTTCTCCAGCCAAATTTCCATCCTTTGCATCTAGTTTAGCAGCCTTATACAAAGGGCTTCTATTTGAAATCAAGCACCAGCCTGGTGAAAGCTGGCATTCTGGGGAGAGCCCTGGGAGAGGCACGGCCCCCTACGGCGCTTCAGAGTAATCGTAAAACTCAGCGTTGGACGGTTAACCACGCCACAAGCCCCCTCCTTGGCTTTTGTCCCCTCTCGGCGGGAGGAGATGAAGCCAAGGTCTCCAGATGAAATAGTATTTTAAGTAGAGGTTTGCAAACCTCTGGGGAGAGGGCATGTACTCTTCTAAAAAGACTGAAGGTTAGAACCAGGCGACTCCAAGAATCCCGAATGCAGAGGTGGGAAGAGCAGCCACCCGCTGCCCGCAATCCGCGCGAGGTCGCCAGCCCCTCACCAGACACAAAGCGGGCACACGCCAGAAACGCGTGGGCGTCGGCAGCCCACGCGCCGCGGGCACGCAGTTAGGGGGTCGGGGCTTAGGGGCGAGGGAAGGGGTCCCAAAACGGCGAGACTCTCCCCAGCCGAAGGTAACTTCGCGCCCACCCCACCTGCCCGACCTCCAGCCGCGCGGCAGGGACAGCCGTGCCCCACCTCCGGGCACGACCTACCAATTGCTTTCGCAGCAGCAAGATATTCTCCTCCAAGAACTTCTCCTCCAGGCGGCTGCGCTGCGCCGCCTCCCCGGGCAGCTCCCCGGCGCGGGGCAAGGCGGCCCCCGCACCCCCGGCGCCGCGCAGGGCGCCCCGGACCAGCAGCTCCTGGCGCTGGCGCAGGTACTCCAGCTCCGCCAGCCCGGCCAGCGTGGCCTCCTGCCGCTCCCGGGTGCGCTGCCGCTCCGTGTCCGCCTCGCCCTTCTCCCGCCAGCGCCCCTCGGGCTCCGCCGCGCGCTGCTCGCCCCGGGCCGTCGCCTGCGGCTCCAGCTCCCGCGCCGTCCCCGCCGGACTCGGCTTCATGGCCCCCAATCCGGCAGCGAGCACCCGTCACCGCAGCCGGGCCTCCGGGACGGAGGAGCGGGGCGCTAGGGCTGCGGCCGCGGGCTCATGCCGCCCCGCGACCGGGCGCGACAGCGGGGGCGCCGGCCAGAAGCGCTCGCGCGGCCGCAGGCTGCAGCCGTCCCGGCCCGGACGGCGCCGTCCGCTGTCGCCGCGCGTCCCTCCCGCGGCCCCGCAGCTGATAACGCCCTGCCCGGCGCTACGTCACGCGCGGCGGCCCCGCGAACCACCGCCCGGCGCCCGCCTCCCCGCGCCGGCCCCTCTGCTCCGAGGCCCGCTCCCCAGTCTTCCCTCGTCTGTCAGGCGCGCCGCTCCGCGCTCGGCGCCCGCCCCGCCCCGCCCCGCCCCCGCTCTGCCCGCCGGCCTCCTCGCCCCCTTTTCGGGCTTACTGCACCCGATTTTTTCCTCGTTCCTCATTGGCTCTTTTCCATGGCCCAGAGCTAGGGGCAAGCGCCTCGAGCCCCAGCATCCTGTTACAGTCGGCCTTGCAGGCAGGGTCCGAAGGGACGCAGCAGTTGGGCTCCCCAGAGAACTTTCTGAAACTCGACCAAGTTGCAGCACACAATCTTAACCCTTTCCGCACACGTCCACTCTTCGCATCCACTCACGCCGGTTTAGATTTCTTTCACCTTCCCGAGCAAGGTACTGCGAGTGCATTCAAAGACAGTTTCTATGGGTTGGGGTTTTTTCACTCCACTTTGTAAAGGCAAACAATAAAGAAAGCACAATGCAATGTTGTTCTAAAACTGTTTCAGTTTTGTTGTTCTTGTAATTTTTTTTAACGGCTGTCTTACTATAGAAGATATTTAAAATTAGGCAGGAGGATGTCGCTGTGTAGTAAGAGGTTGCATCAATTCTTTTACAAGCCCAGGGTTTGCGTGCGTGCGCCTGCGCGCTTTGGGGTTTGTTTGAGTTCTTATTGTTATTAATAGTCTGCATTCACAAGAGCTCTGACTCTGAAATCAGACTGTCTGAATTTGAATCCCAGTCCCACCCATGAATAGCCGTGTGGGCAAGTTCCTTCTTTGTGCCTCTGTTTCCCCAACGGTAAAATGGAGCTACCAACAGAACCTACTTGTTTAAGATTATAATAGCCAGCATATAATATATATTTGGGGGTGCGTTTACAGCGTGGCTAGCACATGGGTGATAAATGTTATATGAGCTGTAGCTTTCTTTCTCTCTCTCTAGAGAAATTTATAAAATAAGGTCTTCCTCTTGAAGTACCATTTGTGGTATGGTCATCTCTGTTTGGGACACTGTTCACAGGGAGTTTCAGTGGGATAGGGATCTGAAAATGCTAGTAGTTGGCTTATCTATGGAAAGTGCCATATATATTTTAACTAGAGCCTCGGAGATTGAATCCAGCAAGTCGCAATTTGCTGACATTCAGGCAAACTGTTACGTGAAGGAGTGCATCCTACAGCATTATTTCAGACTCTTACACCTTTGCCCAGCTGGCTTACCCCTGCTAGGAAGTCTCCCTCTTTTCTCCCCTCTCTGTGTGGTCTAACCTTCCTACCAAGATCAATTCACTCACTTCCCTCCTTTGAACTCCGTTTAACTATATGAGTATCTGATTCTTATCACATGCTACTTGTCTTTTTATTTATCTGGGTGTGCACACACACATTTATATATGTATGTGTATTCCTTCTCTCCAACTAAATTATGAAATCTACCTGAAAGCAGGGACTATTTTAATACCCTCTTAGGATCCTTGTAGTCGGCACAGAGCCTTGCAAACATTTACCTGATAATTGCTCAAGAGAATGTAGATTGGTTGTAAATTGTTTTTTCATTAACATACTTTTTAAGTAACTTTTAAACTTACTAGTACCCATTTAATCTCTACTACAAATAGAATTAAGTTGATATTTACCAAAAAGAAAAAAACAAAAGCAAGAGCTCCCTTGCCACCTTCCACCTTCCTCCCCATTGCTGCCTCCCACAGACTTGAAAGGAGCTATAGCTACAACCTTGATTCATAATTAACAAGATTGTATTTTAGATCTAAAAATTGAATTAGGTTCAGGTACTCATAAGCATACAAAATCAATTCTATTCAGGGTACCTATTCTTTATGCATACTGTGTGCTAAACTCTACTTGATAATACAGGAACTAATTTTCCTCCTTAATTTTAGTAAGGCACTAAAGAATAATGACATATCCTGCCTGCCAAATGCCACTCACCCGTGTCCTCTGTCATTGTTTCATTCTACTCATTTCTAAGCAAGTTTCTTGCTTTCCAGTTCTGAATTAGATTCCTTCTGGCTAGGTGGAGTCTATTATTGTGGCCTGTGTTATGTCACACATCGACAACTATATTTATAGTTTATAGTTGGGGGAGGGAAAAAAGCTGAAGCATGTTTTTACGCACGGCTAATAAATCTTGTTAAGGCGGACAGACAAGTCGCTATGTCTCCTAAACCTCCCCACCTTCTCAATCCCCTTCCCCACCAAATGCCACTTTGAGCTGGCTCATTAGTCCAAAGCAAACCATTTGCCATAACAGCTTGCACATCTCCGTGAAAAAGTGTTCCCAGCAAGTTTAAATATTAAAAGTAATGTATTCAGATGGTTCCGCCCATAAAATGGTCACGAATAGGAAAAAAAGCTTACGCTTTCCAAAGTATCCATTACACATTAATAAATAATGCTGTTCATTCGCACTCCAATTAAAACAAACTCGGGCTGTCAAATGAAGTTAGAAGCAAGGAGCTCAACACTGTAATTGTTGTTCCAGGAAAACTCCCAATGTCATCAGATTAAATGAAACTGGCTAGGTTTCTCCTATTCTCTTCTTAAGCTCACAGCCACATTTCCTTCTCTCCAGTCTAGTTCCCTGGATTTTCTTTCCTCTTTGATTCTTTGTTTTGGTTGTAGGTATTTGGGAAGCAGTTGAAAGTAATCACCCACTGCTCCCTTCTGTTGCCAACAGAATCTCACTTCCCCCTACTGTTTTGATTTTTATTTTCCTTTCTTTTTAAAGGAAGTGCTGGTACTTCTTCCTCCACTAATGCCACTTCATTTTCTCCTTTCTGGTTTGTTCAGCCCTAGTTAGTTCTTTTGCCTTCCCTGGTGGTCTCTATCTTCTCAAAAAAACTGCTAATTGGCACTCCAAAAGTGTGGCACTATACATGGGGTGGATCTGCTACTCAGAGGATCTGAAGAGAAAAATAAAGTTGCCAGCATGAAAAAGAGTCCTGGTTGAATACATTACAGTTGTGTAGCTTATGCTTAAGGATATTTCCTGGGCAGAGCCAGGAAACATTCTTCAGATCATGTAGTCTGACGCTTTGCCCTTGGGCAGAAAAACTCCTCAGAGCACCCGAACCAAAGTGGAAGCATCATTCTGCAAATGCCTGACCAGCAGTGAACATTCTATTGCAGCCAAGCAACGTAAGGAGCATCAATTGCACATTTTGCTATAGAGCAAAGCAACAAAATGATGCTTTGCAGCTTTTATGGCCAAATACAAATGATGTAATTGGGAAAAGCTGTCTCCGAAGAGGAGGAAAAAAGTAAAGGGCAATCCTTTGAGTTGGGGTGATGACCACCATTCGAGGGTCTGGGATCAAAGCTCCAGCCAGACATCAAAGCCCATTTGACTCTAATGCCAAAAGAGCCATAGTGAATTAAACTTCATATATAAACTAATTATAGCTTGACCCTACAATCAGGCTTCAGTGAGCACACAGGGGAAAAGAAAGCAGACATTGAAACAAAAGATCAAGAAAAAGGAAAGTTGGTAGCAAAATTGGGCAACATCATGGCCCTGAAAACTTTAAAAATCTTTTGAGGGCAGAGGGGAATAAGGGAATGGCAGGGGAAACAGCAGACTTCTGACAATGCTGGTCTTGTTTGAAAAGCTATGAAATGACTCCTTCCACCCTCTCTCACTGGTGCACGACCAAATACATCCTTATTCCTGGAAGAGAACATTATCATTTAGCTGTGTTTTAGTGTTATTAAAAAGGTTCCATGTCACCAGGTTTTTGTTGAGGAAGCCCAAGATGATTCTGTGAAGTTTGGTGGTGAGTTCTTGGGGAAACTCAGGCTTCCTCCTACGGAGCACTGTTCCAAAGACTCTAATGTGTCCAGGAGTGAGTTGTATTCTCCACAGTGTTAATCACAGATGTGCCCACCAACCTCAGACTTTAGTTGGTCCCTTAGCTCTGCCATTTCTACTGATCATCTTTACAGATGGAAGGTGCAGCAAATTCCCTAGAACTACATGCCCTGGTACTAATACCACAAAACGATTAAGACTAATTCATTCCCAGGAAAAATTTTAAAGTGTTTTAGAGACAAGTGGCTTCTTTAAAAAATTGTGTTAGGTGGATTTTGTCCTCACTCTGCTTTATTGGGACCATTTACCCAATTTATTTTTAAAGTTTTTAAGTCTCACAAACTTTGGAAAAACAATTTTTCATATTATTTGATATCATAAATAATTTTTTAATTACCTTCTTGTTAGATACGCATCTTAAGTGATTTTTCTTTAAAATACCAAAATCTAATTATGAACCTGAATCTTTTAATAAGAAAAATAAAATAAAAAGAGGCATTTAATAGTAATCACAAAAGAAATATATTAGCCAATGTCATTACATCGACCTTCTTGATTATTTAAAATTCACAGAATTTTTTTAACCCAGTTAATCCCACGTTTGGTCTTCCCATCCAAGTACTAACCAAGCCAGACCTTGTTTGCTTCTTGAGAACGAAATTGGAGACAGTTTCCCATGTTTTTAGGGTGCTTTAATGGCCATAAGAAATACAAGTATTTATTAAGTAACTTTTACTACATTACCAGCAAACTAAGAATACAATGTGAACACAAATCAGTATAGTCTTGCCTTCAATAGAGCTCACAAGAACTAGAAGTAAATGGTGCCTTAATTAAATATTATCATTATATGTGGTTGCTGTGTGGGTTGTTTACAAAATTTGTGGAAACTAACCCACAATTTTGCAAATATTAATATGTTTAAACAGATTATTCTAAATGATTATATTCTAAAAGTCCCATACTCAAATTAAATCACAAATGTATTACTTGAATTTTTATAATACTATGTTTTCCAGGAAGGGGATT